AGAAAACTCCTAGTGCCTCGTATGGGAACCTGATGAGAGAACTTCATGGCCTTAGTGACTTGAAAACTGCCTTCATTCAGAGACCCAGGGAAAAAAGTAGGCCAACGGAACTTGAACCCTCTCCAGTCTCCAATATCAGCAGATTCAGCAGAGAGAAATTCCATTAGCATACCGTAACGAAGGGTTTCACTTGGGATACCGAAATTCCAATATCAGCACAGAGAAATTCCGGGTAGCAGTGGAACTGTGGAACTGGTGTTTCTACTTGGATTAAATATATAACTAAACTTTTACCATTTTTACTTGTAATGTTAAGAATTTCTATCAAATTTTCTTTTATATTGAAATTATTTTTAATTTCACTTTTAAGTAAAATGGATTTAAGTGTTTTTTTTTTCAACTAATAACGAGGAAAGATGGATGATATCGTCGTGATTAAATTGGGATAATTGGTCCTAATTATACTGACATTTATAAAATAGTAAATTATTTGTGTTTAATAATAAAATAAGTTTTTTAACCAAAATAATCTTATAAGTTAGCTTGAAATTTATTCTTTCGAACATAAATATAATAAAAATAATAAAAAAGAAAGAACGGATACCATTATTATGGAGACAAAATCGAGAAATACAATCGGTTCGATCAATCGGGGAGAACCGACCCAGCAGCCAGGGGACAGGGATAAACCGATAGAGCCGGAACTGGAATGGAAGGTAAAAAAGTAAAGGGATTCAAAATCAGAAAAGGGCAGCCCCAGCAGAAATACCCATACGTGCGGGTGAGACAAATAGCTTATAGCTCCACTTCTTTATCTACGTACTACGCCTTCCATCGTACTGTCTACTTCTCGAGTCTCGTGGTGAAGACGGAAGACAGACGGAATAGACGGACCAGACACCAGCTGGAATGCCAATGGTGGGTGGTTTTCTCTTCACTCCTCAAAGATCAAAATCGATATTCACGGCTGCCACGGCACCGGAGTCCGGAGACTAGAGACTGATTTTCATTTATTTTATACATTGTTGCATACATTCACATTATACATCCGTGAAAAAGAGTGGAGTAAAGAAGCCACCACCTTCACGTGTTGCACCAATGCCTGACTCACTCCTGAATCCTGATTTTGGGAGAAGGAATATTAGATATCTAGATAGATAGATTGATGATGATGACGATGTGTCGAATGTCGATTCTTCTTCTCACTTCTCACTTCACTCTTCTCACACACATCTCATCTGTACGCGCGTCGCAGGATTCCTCATTCCCACGAATATGCTCTCTCTCTCTCTCTCTCTCTCTCTCTCTCTCTCGGCAAGTCGGCATAGACTGAAAGGCGAAAGCCATCTCTGTCTGGGTGACGGTGAGTCGTGGCACCCCACTCCCTACTCCCTCCCTCTGTCCCTCACTTCCACATCCACTTCCACTTCCGCTCGATTCAAAAATCTACTGTCTGTCTAGGGAATTACCCTTGACTAATCAGTCAAAACTCTCTCTCCTTTTTTTTTTTGTTTCTTCTTTTATATATATTAATTGAACTGTGTATGAGTTTACACAAATATATTAATCAAATATTAGATGGCGTGTTTCTGTAATTCGTACTCTTGAGTTGATGCATGCAGCCGGCTATTTGGCCCCTATCTCCAGTTAGACTTGAGAAAAAATATATGGTAAGCAATCCCAAATCTTTTCTTTTATGTTTTATCAAATTTCTTGTGGAATGAAAATTGCCTGGACCGGTGACCGGACCTACCGAAGTGTCTCCCACTCCGACTCAAATCAAAAAGCTTTTACAGAAGAGAGATCAATCAAACCCTGACAACTGTGTTTGTCCAAATTCCATTTAACTATCACTCGAGAGATTTTCTCTTGATAACGGTGTTTTTGGTTCCAGTAAGATGCTAATAACCCATATTGTCGTCAAGTCTAGTCTAGTCTTAATCTAATCATGAATCTAACTTAAAATGTCCAGATATGATGCATCGTGTTGTAATTAGTCAAATCCTAGCTACTTGCACCTAATCGTCCCGGACGATTCTCTTGCAAGTTGCAACTAACCAATGAGTCGCCGGTGCAATGAAGAAGAAGAAGAAGAGATAAAGGAGGGAGGAGAATAACTGAATAATAAGCACCACAAAATTTGAATGGTTGAACAAGCTATAAATTAATAATGGAGCTGACAGTGAAGAGGCGGTTAGTTATGCTGCATTTAGAGTATGGTGCTTGGCTCAAAATGGCATTAACAGAGCGTGTCGGCAGGCCTCAAATACTAGTAACCCACTAACCCACTCCAGAAGCTGCGACCTTTGATACCTTTGAGTTTGGGTTTGGGGGAGGGTTACTTGGAACAGGAATCAGAAATAGCATCCAAAGTAGCAAACCCGTATGAGTGAATAGTGATGATGAGTCTCTTCACTTGCCATTCTAATTAATCTCACACCTCGTCAGCATCAGCAAAATGCAGCAGCAGCAGTGATTGATGTAAGGACAGGTAAAGTAGGTAATTTTCAGTTGACAAGCAAGCGACTAATTAGGGTTTCGAGAAAACCGGTGCCACCCACATGTGGCATGTGCACTTGCTCCCCCCTCGTCCTTTCTGTCTTCTTTTTTCTCTCATGGTCATTACTCTCCCCAATTCGTTTTACCCCAAAGCTGTAAAAATGTAAATCCCTGCCTCATATTTTGACTTGTTATTTCTTTCAGATGATCCCACCGAATTGGGTTCCAACCTGACCTGCCGCGGTCACGAAATGTTTGTATCGGGATTAATAATGTTTTAGACTGCGTTTGGAATCGATGTAAWTAAATAATGATGTAAATATTTATATCGCTTTGGTTTAATTTACATTTGGAAAGAGTGTATAATAATAATAATAAACTTTATACCGATTACTCAAAAGATAAAAATACAACAATAACTAATAACGGTTAGTGTAAAACATCATCCATGTAAACTAAACTGATGATGTTTTTAAACTGATCCCAAACGCAACCTTGTGCTTATAAGCTTCAAGCTCTTGCCAGTTGCCAGCACCCAAATTTGGAACATTGACAAATTAAGTGACCCACGATACATCAAAAAGGGATGCTTTTCACTTGTTACAAACACACCACATCACCGTTGGGTTAGAATCTGAGTGACAAGGTGGGTCTCTTGGGGAATTGTGCTGCGAGTGGAGTGTTAACTTTTTCTTTTCCCAAATTTAAATTTATTTGCTGTCTGAAAAAGGAATTTTTTCCCCGAAAACATACGCGTAAGCAAAAGAGAAAAGAGGGATGACGATGAGACGTTAAAGTGCTTTTCAAAGTTCTCCTCTGTTTTTTTTGAAACAAGGAGATGAACAGTTGATCACTTCACAAGAAACAGTGCATAACCTAGGGAAAAGGCATTGCCCCACCCGTACAGCAAAGCCGGCAAAGAGTGGGACTCTTTGGATTTAGTGCTCTTGACATAAATCTACCTCGATCTTTGAAACCCTACAAATGAAAAAGAGGAAAAAAACTCCCCCATCATCAATCCACCCTCCCACTATCGCTCTCTCTCACTCTCGTAAACCAGAGCAACACTTGGAAATATTGCTGGGGGCCTGGGCAACCAATCTATCTATTGTTTGTCAACCAAAAAGGAAAACCCCAAATCCAAGCCCAACCCAGTACGTAGCCATAACTCCAGTCTCCTCTTAAATGATCTCTTACAATACACTGATAACCATGGCAGGGAATGCAGTAGAAAAGAATCCAAGCATCTGGAGGGTCCGGTTAGAATCCAGAATCTCCATAACTCAAGTACAACTACTGGGTGATCTGAATCATTCGTTTTTCTTTTCTAAACAAAAAGGAAAGAAAAAACGTAAGAAAGATCACTTCATCTGTTTGATTAGTCATCTCAATCATCTAAGTGTTACACTTGTTTGGTTTCTATGTGCCCAAGGAAGGATTCACTGCGCCGGACTCCGCACAGTCTGCTACCTGATACAAGTGATAATATCTAGTCATCCTAGCTAGAGCTACATGAATATGACAAGATCTCCTGAGTTCCATAGGCCCTTTTGGCTGCATATCCTGAATATAAGATGCATGTCTCTGTATATTAATATTTTTAAAGCTGAATTAGATTATCACTATCTCGTACAGATTTTATCTTATCTACGCTTGGTTGGTTTATGTTAAGGAACATTATCGTTATTTTCATCTATAAGATTTTTAGGAAAAGTGATGTTATTTTCGGTTAGACTTTCAAAAGTTTAATGTACTTTTTGAGGAGGGGTGGTCGAATTCCTTAGATGCCTAACCTTGGTATTTCCGTACCAACATTACTTGTGGGATAGCCTTGGTTAATGAATAGCATGGCTATTAAGGTTCCTCATGAGTGTACACATGCTCATAGGGACAATGTATAGACCGGCACTACGCCACCAACACTCAAGGGAGACTTAGCATGCGAGCTTGGCTCAAGTATGAYCCTTCACCATGCTAGCCCCTTGCCTAATTTGAATGAGYTATCCCGTTGCCCATAGTGCATGGGTGTGTTCCGGCCCAACGGTTGCCTATTAGCATTCATATGCCTACATCATCGGTATATAAGAGTCTCTTCTCATTAGCGTGCAGTGGCCTTTCATCATGGACGTTCCCCTTTAACACGTAAGAAATACCTCCCATGAACCGACTAAAGTCAATTGAATGCCCTAATCATACGACTTGAAGTCATGATCCAATGTAACTGACCTTAATAAACTATCTTATCAGACAATTCCTAACTTCACTGGGTTATATTGTACGCCGCACGAGTTTCTTCCGCTTCGGAACTATTATATTGTATTTATTAATTGCCGTAAGTAGTAACTTGAAATTGAAATTGAATGAAACCTGCCGGAAAATCCCAAAAACAAAAACACTCTAGAAATGGCCAAATGGGAGTGTTGAGAAGCAGAAACATGAGATCTTAAAATCCGCTGCCGACGATTCCTTACGGTTGTTAGTTGTGGGTCACATATACGTAAATGAGTCAAAAAAACACAAAAAAGAAGACCGTACAAACTGCAAAGCCAGAGTTGCACAGGTGAATCCCGTACCKCCTACACCCCCTCTACTACTCTAGTTCCTCTACTCTCTGCTGCTTCTCATCTCACCCTTGAACCTCTTGATAGCAGCAGAGTAGTCCTCTAGAGTCCTAGGCTTTCGTATACCAGACGTGAGACACCCGAATCCTGCGCCAAGGCATCAGATAGATGTTAGCTCCCCCCCTTTTGTTCGTTTATTCATTCTTCTTTCTTTCATTCATTCGTTCAAAATTAACCAACGTACCGCCATCACTAATTTTTCCCTCTCTGTCCCTGTCTTTGTCTCTGTCTGTCTCCGACTCCGAGCATGTAATATGTATATTTATTACTCTTTTCTTCCTCTATATATAACCATCAACAAGTGTCTCCCCAATAACTACAATAGATATACCCACGGATGGACAGCTTCCCCTGTAAACCCAACCCACCTGTTTCAACCGCATCGATGGCTTCTGCCATCTCCAAGGAGAAGAAGAGAGGTGGCAAGAGAAGCAAAGGAGTGAAGCTGTCGACGGACCCACAAAGTGTAGCAGCCCGACAGAGGAGGCACCGTATCAGCGACCGCTTCAAGATCTTGCAGAGCTTAGTACCTGGAGGCACCAAGATGGACACCGTTTCCATGCTAGAGGAGGCCATTCACTATGTTAAGTTTCTAAAGACCCAAATATGGTTGCATCAAGCCATGATGAACTTCTTACACGACGACTCTTCTTCCTCTTCTTCTTCTACTTCCCTCCTCTCTCCTCCAGACTTGGTGTATTCGTCAGCTGCAGCCTTAGCAACTCCGTCTTTGCCACCACCACCACCGCCTCCGCCAGCTACTCCGTCTTTGCCACCACCCTCTTACTATCAAGGAAC